CAGTCATATAATTACATGTATATATTTGCAGGCATAAAGGCAAAAAATTGAGCTGTAAAAATGAACCATATTTTTACTAAAAGGAACAATTATCTACTACATTATGTAGACTGATGTAGTTTTTAGAGAAACTTTTCAGTTTTGGGCTGTGTCAGCAGCACCTTGGAGTTGATAAAGGTAATTAACTGCTGTAGCAAGTTTGTGAAGATGACATTTCAAGCATTAAACCCTCTTTCACAGCAAAGTAATTACACTCTATATACTATGTACTTTCAGTACATGCATCTCAGTTCTAACTACAGGGACTGCAGTACAGTTACCTCAATGTGTTCTGTATAGGCTGGGATTAAAGCAATTTTTGAGGTTGTCCTCTTAAATAAATGGCAATAAACATTGTGGCTTTCAGGTCTCATAATCATTACCTGGTGCTTCATGCACACCATTCTAATGAGTCCTAATAAAGGTGGAACAGCTGTCCGCGGCTGCCACTTAACAGGTAGCTGACTGCATGCACATGTGTACAGGTTCATGTCAGACAGCTGAGATTTGCAGTGTGATAATTGTTTTAAACCACTTTTGTTATGGCACTGTACTCTGTAATTTGATGGCAGAGAACTTTTTGATATTTTCCCAACAGGATAACATGACAATAACATTAGCACCTGGGTATGTGTTATCAAGAAGTAAAGAGAAGATAAATGTAACAATAACAGACACCTTTTTCAAGGAAGGTACCACAAAGGTCAGTTGACTTTTCAAATGCAATAATTTAATTACTTTTATTTACAGTACATGTAGCATTCACTAACTGTTGTACACATGCAGGTTATCTCTAGTAGCTAATTTTTTGAGGACCCTTCTGTAAACCACTCTACTGTGATATTGGTATCCTCATTAAAGATTACTACTTATTTTAATAAATTTGCCATTGTTTTGGCATTTGTTGTTGATTTGTTGTTTCTTTTTTTTGCAGGCAAAGACAAGAAAAAAGTAAGTACCAAAAAAAGTGAGAAAGTGATACATGTGTATATGAACTACAAATATGCTACAAAAAATAATAGTTTCATATGAGACAACAATTAATTCCTAATATAATAAATTTCCTTATTAACTTATAAACGAAATAATTATGTACCTAAGAGGTTCAAATTGTCAAGTCTTAATTTTACTCATAATAACAGAAACATTTTTATTATTCAGTTTATTTAATAATTTAAAAATGATCTCTGAGAGATCGAAATGCCATTTTATATCACTGGTTTTTATCTTAAAATGTGTTTCAAAGAATCTGCTTACTAAATGAAAATATCAATTAATACAAGCTTTATATCTCTATTGTATAGAACGTATTTAATCTAAGTACTGTAACACATATAATTACTGTCTTTTAATTCTAGATTACCCCATATAACATTAACATAATGCACATGTCTTGTATGTAAGGATCAAAATTTCTCAAAATCTCAAAAAAATTTTGGAGTGTCATCCAAACTCTATATAGTTAACACTCAAGCCTTGAAATGCCATTCTTGATTTTCTAAACATTCAGTAATCAAGAATCAGGTAATTTTGAATGTCAGTCAATTAGAAAAGTTAAAAAAAACAAACAGTAAAATTCATGTGTCTACTAGTAGATACTCAAAGATATTAAAGAAAGCAAAGAATAAGGAGGAAGTTGAAATTAATCCCCTGATGCAGTGCTACATGCCTCATCTGTCCAGGTCATTGTAAAATAAATTAGTAAATGTTAAGTTAAAATAAATAAATAAATAAATAAATAAATACATAAATAAATAAAGTAAGACTTGTAAACAAATATATGAATAAATAAACATATTAAGTTAGTAGATAATAATAAAATGGTAACTTGAAATGTTATGACTCCCCCCTCAGAGCTGTCATAACCCATAACACCTGTTACGGCTGAGTATGCTTGATTTTCCCTTGATGCTACAGGTGAAACTGCCTGTTAGTGATAGAATTCACCCACAAAGTAACACGTTTGCTGCAGGTGTGGAGAACAAGGCTACAGGTGACTCAAAACTAAATGACAGCCCTGCCCTTTCCCCCTGTTATTGATTAAGTTGATCAACTACATGTAATAGTTTTGAATTGTCTACAACATCTGAGTAACGAGCAACATGATGCAAGCTGTCACATGTATGTTTTAAAATTTATTTTGTGTAAACAATTTTAACGTGAAATAATAAACAATGGGCCAATAATGAATAAGAAAAATATTGCAAATTCATTTCAGAGTAGTATTAATGCTTTTTCTTTTATCTGAATTGGTGGCTGAATAAAGCTTAGGTATGTACACAATCGTAACAAAACTACAAAATTGGTCGTCAAGTTATTAATTTTTTATTTAGTCATTAATTTTTTTTTGGGGGGGGGGGGGAATAGTAATTTTTTATTCACTATTCTATTGATATTTCTTTATTTTGCTTTTCATCTTGTTTTCTAGATCGCAGCCTCCCAACGAAAAGTAAGCTGTTTGTAAATAGATTTTTCTTTCAATCAGTTTAGACTACTAAAAATGTAATTATCTTAACTACTCTGTAGCTTAACAGTGCTAGCACTTATTAATAACTTTTGTTTCCATTGCTTAGCAAGAAAACGCTTGACAAGGGCAATTTTTATCTTTCTTGGGTTGAATTTATAACTCATATCTTATGCCTATCCCCAGCATTTTTATCAGACTGCTATAAAAGGTTGGAGAAATTTATAGTCCTAGCCGGAGGATGATATTGGTATATTTTAATTTGTCACATCAGAAGAATCCAATGCCAATTGCTTAAAAATCCAACACTTCTTTTTGGAACAAAACCCAATGTGCCTTTGTGCCCAAAACTGATTTTTTTCCTTTTAAAACAATTGAACTCTGATATTTCAAACTCTTAGGGGAAATGAAAAATAGTTCTTAATAGCAGGAGTTCGAAATATCCAATAGTAAATGACTGAAGGGGAAATCCAAGGGAAATGGTTTTAAGGTTTGAAATAACAAAGAATTTGAAATAACCACGTTCAAAATAGCGGGATCCAACTACATATAAGATTTCATATACATCTACCTGAAGATTGTTTTTAATGTTTAAAAGTCTTGTGCTCTTCTGTTAGTTTCCTAAAAGACGTGCGTAATATTTTTTAACTATTACTCTATTTGCACATCACACAGGGACATTGTTATTCAACAACTTCGTCAGCAGATTGATGACTTGACACTGATTTGTGAAGAAGAAAGGTTAAACCACAAGATGAACCTCAGAAAGGTGAAATAAAAGCATTAATTAATGTGATGTTTTACTACATGACTAAGACATTTCAGGGGGATGAAATACCTTAACTCAGCCTATCGGAACTACACTTTGTTGTTAGACAAATATTTTTAAGTATTATACGCAGCAAAGTTTGTGGAACACTTTTTAACTCATGAAGTCATGAAATAAATCTCTTATTAACCCAGCTTGCAAAGACTGTATTTGATGAACATTAATGCCTTCCAATGGTGTTTACTTTATGGAGCTCTTTGCCTTCAATGTGTCCATACTGGAAAAACTTGGAGCGCTGACAGTCTTTTGGTATAATATGTACTTGGTTGATAAGAGTTTTGTATTAAGGTTTGTGCAGTACCAGTACTGTACATTTGTCTTAGTACAATTGAACAACTACTCAGAAAGCTCCAATACATAATTTAATGTTTTAGTTTTATTTTACTGGCCAATTAAGCCTTGATGATTATTTTAATTACTGTTTTAATAGACCGAGGAGAACCACCGTCACCATATTGAACAGATTCACGATGAACACAGAGAGCATATTAAGTAAGATAACTGATGATTTGATCAGTAGTTTCACCGTAAATACACTGACTTTGTCTAATTCAAGCATACCTCATCGTTCTGTACAGTGTAGGTTTGCTACGTGCAAGGTTCACAATAACGTTTGAAAGTTGCAAATATAACACAAAGCAAATCTAAAATGAGAAGAGTGCGTGTAGAAGTTTACTCGCGGTATAATATGCGTAAAAGTACCTTTTAATTGAAGGAAACCTGAAAAAAAGTAGTTTACTAAGATAGAAAAACACTAAAGAGATAATAATATACACTAAAGGAACAAGGATGGTTAAGGATGGAGAAGATTAACGTGGATTACAAACGAAGAACTTGCATTTGAAAAATTTAGGCTAAACTTTTCAATATGCGCAAACCGTGACGTAGCTGCTTTATATGTAACTGCTACAATAATCGAATAGTTTAAAATTGCGACAATATCTTAAACATCCCCCGAATTTCATATTCACGAGTTAAGCTAATTTTTTTTTCGTGTTGTGAACAGATCAATAGAGAACGACCACGATGAAGAATCAGAGAAGTTAAAGAACTCATTTGAACAGAAGGTGACGCTCACTGTAATGCGTGTTATTTTTCTTTGTAACTTGTGATTTTTTTTTATATCTATTTCGACTTAAAATACAATAAACAAGTTTGTTTGTGGGAGAGGGGTCCCATTCTTCAGGTTAATGCTTACAAGCTTCCAGTCCAAAATAAGGTGGTCCAGGAATTGAAATTTATACGCAGGTAACTGCCTTTTTTCAAATTATCATTGAATTGCTCAAACGCTTTGTTATGGCAAGCTTAAGGCCTCATCCACACTCCGCCGGAGAAATTTTGAAAACGCACCAATCACCGGTCATTTTGGATTTGTGTTGGAGGAAATCTCGGTCAGGGAAATATAATGACTATTGCAACGTCATCGTTTTTGAAACTCTCCGTTTTCAAAATGTTTCCGTCCTCACTAAAACGCAAAGCCGGCGTTTTCAAATTCCTCCGGTTTGAAGAGCGTTTTCGAAAAGCTCGTTTCTTGTGACGGATTATTGTGGACGGTAAGCCTAACCATAGAAATAAAGCTGCGTTTTCAAATTTCTGCGGCGTAGTGTGGACGGAAAACATTAAATTTGTTTTCAAGGTGAAAAAGGGGGCCTTAAGTTCGTAATTTATTTTAACCCTTTGATCAATTGGCTTTTTAAACAGTGTAAGGATACGGAAAGATTTGAGTGTTTAAATTTTACACCTTGACCATATGATCAAGACGTACTTTCCAGGAATGCAGTGCAATTAAGAATTTTCGTTTCAAGATGTTTGGAACATAATGGTACAAGATGACATCTACATATTGCATGCGAACTACGAAACTTTCATCCAAATCGTTTGAAATTTAGAAGTAGAACTTACATGTCTTCTAGATACATGTATATTAGTTGAAAAAAGTAATGTTAACCAAATTGCTTCCTTAACATCGACAGATACGTGAAGAGAAAAGAACTGCTGAAGTAGAGAAAGGTACTCAATCAATAGCCACTTCTTGAAAATTGACTGTATGAGTTTGTTATGCAGATCATTTAAGTNGTCTTAACGCGATTTAAAATTACGTTGCACCGAGCACAAGGTTATCATAGTACAGTAGTTCGCGTTCAAAAATGTGTGAAATGTTAAACATACTATAGCATTAGATAGGTTCTTAAATTTTGTTGTTCACATTTACGCCAACTGCTTTTTGTAGGAGACTGTGGCCACTGAAATGGATTACAAATGGCAGAGAAGAGAGGTAACTGCCTTCAAATGTGAAACAGGCCATCAATGTTGTCCATTTTAGGAGTAAACTAAGGACATTACACCTTTAATTTTTTGCTCATTTTATTCCACCGTTATTTTGTTAGGATTTTAAATTTCACTGTATATATTTTATTCTTAGTGCTGACGTTTAATTAATAGTTAATTGTTGTGGTCCAGATGATAGAAAGTTTTTAAAGTTTTAGATTTTATAACCTTGTAAATCACTTAAATCTTTTGAGAATACACGTACGTATTTTGAACGAGCTTGTACAGCTCTTAGACGTGACGTGTCTAAAGAAAGTATTGTAGAATGTAGAACTAAGTTTAGTCCTCTCGCCATGATTCCACCAGTTAGTGCGTATATTAATTAAAATACCATTTTCGTATTCTCGGTATTGGATTGGAACTAGCTTGCAATGGAGGCTCAGGCGGGGAAATATCATAAATTTCAGTGTTTCAGCCAGAAACTTTTACTCGAGGGCCAAGTGGCCCCTGAAGATCTTTTTTAGGGGCCAATTTTTTAGGAAAGGGGCCAATAAATTGAAAGCTACAGAATTAAAAAATGCATCAGGGTACCAAGGAAAATAAAGCAGTTTATTAGGATCTATGATAGTAAGTGCTTTTTGAAGTGTCTCTACTTAACAAAATTTCTTTTGAAACAGATACTAGTATAAAGGATCCGTGCATTACAAGAGAACAATCCTTAGGCAAACATGACGTAGTCAATGATCAAGGGTTTGCAATGCATTATAGGGCGATTTCAAACACGGTCAACCATTTCGAAGTTTTCCTATATGAGAGCATCAATACAGCAAAGCAAAAGCACGGATTGACTTTTCTTATGCTGAATGTTTTAGAGGCAAAGATCTTTCAAGATGATTTTCTAGAAGGTCATAATGTGTGACAAATAACCGTTATAGATCGTCAACACATAGAAATGTAGTCTCCATTATGCCGTATTATGGCGACTAAACCAGAATTTTTGGTCGCCAAGTATCAAATGTTAGTTGCATTGGCGACCGTATCGATCACAATTTCGAGCCCTGGATGACTTTTAAAATATTATGCCTGTGTTAAGCCTGCAGTCTTGTAAATGGAAAGGGTCAAATTGGCCCTTTTATCGTTTTTCTGGGGACCATCTCTGATTGTAACGCGGGATTCCCGCAATGGCGTGCTCTGGCAGAAACACTGATTAAAAAGAGATAAGCCATTTCCGAGTTGCTTTTTACCTCTGTTTCAAAACGAGTCCTGATGCACAATCATTGAAATGAGTTTAATTTGCAGAAAAATGAACGTGCAAGAAACTTCATTTCAATATGAAAGGTTGGACACCGAGACTCGTTTTGAAACAGAGGTAAGAGCAACTCGGAAGTGGCCCATCAATGTCATTGAAAAGACTTCCCCCGTTAGCCTCACTTGCACGTTAGTTCCAGCCTAATACCGAGGGTACGAAAATGGTCCATTCAGAACAGACTCCTTAGCGGACAAATCGTTTCAACCTGCTCCCATTTTGAATCAGTTTGGACGATTAAGACGAGGAACTGAGATTGCCACGTGCCAAACTACTCGAGTGGATCGAAAGGACGGAACTATCTGTTATAAGTCATATTTGTCCAAAAACAAAAGGTGCGTGCCACAGTAGTATCTCTAGGACGGCAATTATATAACGGCGCAAATGAATATCATTGTCTTTTACAGAAAGAGCTGCGAGACGAACATGAGAGACGTACAGAAGATGAATTATCCAAACAGCGTGAGTTTATCAACCTCAAAATCTCTTCGGCTGATTCACCCTCCTTTCGCCTTTGTTAAGATTAATTTTTTGCTATAGATTTACAGGTTTCTCCGTCCAAAGTGTAACTTTTCGTTTAAATTTGCTCTCGCATTTTCAAGTTTGTCTATGTCATCACATTTATTTCCGTTAGACTTCTTCAGTTCTTGATCAGGGTAAATGCCATTAGGTTAGTATCATTCTACGAAATAAAACCACCGTTTAGTTGTTTTCTGTGATCTAAACGTATTCGTAGTTGATCTGGGCGATTTATCGTTGGTCCACACTTGAGCTTAATAAGACTGAGGCTACCTTTAGTCTGCTAATTGTCTTTTCGTCACCTGTGAGTCTTGTTTTTCTGCTGCAAAAAGCCAAGGCACGTCGAAATTGTTTGGTTTAACAAGTTATTCGTGTTTATGACAGGAAGAGAAATGCTTCACGAGAAAAACAAGGAAATAGACGGCATGAACAAAGAGTTCCAAAGACAAATTCAGGTTTTGGTTGAAGATCACAAGAAAGAAGTCGATGTAAGTATTTTCGTTAAATTATTATTACTAAGGCTACAAGAAAGGTAATCTAAATCACCGTCCCTGGGGAAAAATATTACGTTTACGAAGTTTGCCTAAAGCACAGAGAATTCTGTATAGTGATATCTCTTTCTGCGTTTATTTCAGCATCTGATGGAAAAGTTTGCTGAGTGTGTGCAAGATTCCGAGCAACTCAAGTCCGCCCTACTGGAGATGCAGGTACAAAAACGTTAAGTAGTTTAAAAATTATCAACAGCTCACATGCGGTAAAGTAGTCCCTATTAGAGCCAAAGGTACCCTTTCTTATCTTTTTGAAACCTGCATCTTTACACAGGATTAATTTAGAATGCATGAGTAAATGCACTTATTTCGACTGCTGTTTTTTTTGAACGGTCTTAGTGTGTTAGATGGTTGTGTCAATGGCTGGAAAAAAAGAAGCCGAACTTAGCAGTTTGTTGTCTCGCAAAACTAAAACCACCTTTTCAAGGAGTTTAGGCAGCGTATCATGAAGTGGAGGCAGAAACATGTAACCTGGTTAAAAGCACGCGAAAATTCGTGTGGATCAATTTCAAAGGGCCAAGCAGTACGCCTGAAACTTGCATTGCAAGCCAATCAGAACTCGTAATGTAAAATTGTAAGCGGTAGCGCGGCTAAGCGCGGGAAAAGTCGCGTGAACCAATTTCAAACGACCAATCACCATTGTCTATAGGAAACAGTTAAAACTCCATTCAAAACTGGGAGCGGGAGGAGGAAAGATTGCATAAACTAAATCGATCAGGAGTGTTTTTGGCTTTGCATCTGATTGAAAAGAAAAAAAACTTTCCGGTTGCGATTTTTAAAGTCTCTAGCAGTCAACTGATGATGTTCTTTACGATTTTTCTCTCAGACTTTAAAGCAGAAAAAACAAGAACTTGAAGAGAAACTTAAAACCAAATCAGAAATTCTGCGAAAGACACAGATGGAACTAGAAGACAAGGTATTCATTTTTCAAGTACAGTATACAATGTACCTGTAAACAAGAATTAACAGTGAAGTCTATTGCTCTTTTAATGTATGCTATGTTCCCAAAATCGTGTAAGAGTGCAGCATTAACCTTACATGTACGTTGTTTCTCTCTGACAGGCAGTCAAATTAGCTGCTTTTGAAGAACACTTTGCAGAAAAGGTCTGTACTATAAGAATTTTTTTTTTAGATTTTGTGTTGTAGTTTTCGTAAGGTGACGTTCTACTCTTTCTTCTTGCATTCTACAAGTAGCATCCTCCCCTACCCCGCACTACCCCGCCCCACCCTACCTAACCCTAGCCTAAACCCTCTACCCTATTCTACCCGAAACATTACTCGCTCAGAATGTCTGGCCATGTTACGTACAGTGCAAGATTTTCTCAATGTGACCAATTTTGTCAAACTGAAACCGAAAAAAAAAAAAATGGATATTTCAGTACAAGAGCTGTTTGGAACCAAGCCTCTTTTGGTACAAGAATAGCATCGCAGATTGAATATTATGAAATGTTTGTCGTTTAGGTGGAGGAGGTGGACAATAGGTATTCTATGCGAATGCAAGGCCTGATGTCGGACAATACAGACTTAAGGTAAGTCAAGAATCAGCGAAGAAGATGGGCTTTTATGATAAATTGTTGGAAAGTCTGTTTTAGACCGTCTCTTTGGCCGGAAAGAAAAGAAACTGCCTGCATGTACAGCTCATAAACCTTCGTGCGAACTCTTCCTTTTCAAACGGAAAATGTACGCTACAACTCGCTGTACTGTGCTTATTCGATGAAAAAAAGAAACTGTTAGGCTGAGTCGCTGGGCAAGGGAAACACCAAGATTGTTAACATCGTGAACTTAATAAAGGCGAATGAACAGTCGAAACTAATTCTGGAAGGCTGAAATTTCAGGCGTTCGCAGTTTGTCAGAGCCAATAAAAATGTTTTGCTATATATGTCGCCATGTTGATTGCTTGCTCAGTCAAAAATCACCTTGAATCTTTGGTTGTTCTTTTGTTGGCTGCGAAGCGTGGAAAGGAAACAAGACAACTAAAAGGAAGTTATAAGACAATAGTAACAGACTGATACGTACTGTAATTTGATATGATATGAATGTGCAAGTCCGACAAACTAAACCAAAAGTTGATCGGTAAAGATTTCGTGACGGAAACTAGCTTGGCTACAACTCCCTCCCAAAATGCACCCCACCCCTACCCTCACAATATCCTGTGGGACAAGTATTTCCCGAAGTATTTCCAGTGTTGAATTACGAACATAATGGGTTTAAACGTTGTTAAATGTGCTTTATACGCTTTCACTTCAGGCGTCACTACATCAAGAAATGTGAACAGTTTTTCAAACTGAAGACGGAACAAGATATAGAACAAGTAAGTTTTCTGTTAACGTCTCAACCTACAGCTGATGTAGTCATTATATGACGTCATTTCAACTATTATTATTATTATTTTCAACAAGTCGATGATAATGAAATGCCGTAATGATTCAATTTAGCACTAATTTACTTTTGTAGCTCCACAGATAGCGATCAGACCATCAAACCCTCAGACCTGTTGTTTAACTGAGAATCATTAAATTTTTTTTTTTTTCTTACAACAGGAAAGTTTTATTCGCACGGCCAAGAGCACAATGCAGGTAAGTAATTGGTGTTCGTTAAGACCCGTTGATACCGGCAACATTTTCCTTGCAACAAATTGCGTTGCTATCTTGCAACGCGTTTTTGTGTATTTCCAAGTGTCTCAGTGTTTTCCAAGTTTGCTTCAACGTATTGCTGCATCTTACGAAACGGTGGCCATACACACAAGGACGCTTCTGAACTTGCCATGCAGTATTTGTGTGCGACATGTTGCAGGGAAGATGCTGCCCTTATCAGCTCGCCTTAAGTCATTTTTTTTTCTTTGAATATAATCATATGTTATGTAGGGGAACTGTGCCTAATCTAATCGAACGTGCGTTGGACTCTGGATCGAGGAATTCGGGTTTTAAGCATGACCGGAATCATTGCGCTGTGTTCTTGGGTGGTGTATTGTTAGGATGCTGCGGGGTGGGGTGGGGGAAACTGTGGTAAACTGTCATCCCCTTGATAGGGAGGGGACTTCAAAGTCACTTTGGAAAATGGCGCCAACTTAACGAACAGCTTAAAGTTTGCTGTTCATCAATATTCTTGTGATTCCCTTTTTTTCCTTGTCCTTACCAGGCCGTTATTCTTGCTCGAACAAGATGTGACGTCAGTCTAACAGCACTCCGAGACGAAAGCCCGGATAATATTCAAACCTCAGAACTGAGCATTCGCACAAAGCGACCAATGAGCGCCCCGGGAACCAGAGATGAAATGTCCACAGCAGAAAAATTGACCTCTGTAGTCAATGAAAATACATCGCCAGCAACATCACCGAGAATTCCTGCCCAGAAGTCGGAACTAAACAAACTAAGACCTCATACATCACATCACGCCAGCCTGTTCAGCCCCAGGAACGCTCGCT